CACTGGATAAAACATAGTAATGTTCATACAGCTCTTCTTCGTGTATTACTGCTTTTGCCAGTTTCATAAAGGGATAAACATCAACAGCAAACTCAATTGCGAAGAAGTGCATTAGTTTTTCTACTAAAAATGTTCCACTAGCATAATAAGGGCGGTCATCAAATTCTTCGCGAGTCAGTTGATTGAAACGCGTAAAAGATTTCCGACCAGCTTTAAAAAACATGTGCGTCAAAAATGACAATTTCTGTATTAAATCCCAACTTTTAACTTCGGTTTCTTTTCTGAGTATTCCAGCAAGGTTCATTTCATTTTGTTTCGAACCTTTCCATGGCATATCTTTACCAAACGCGATGACCTGATAAAAGAAGCATAGAATATTGTTCCATACTTCACTAACTGATAATGTTTCATCGCCTATACTTTGTAATTCATGTCCATGACCAATTTCATGCAACGCCCCCCAATTTGTTGGACTGATATCCAACCAGAAGGATTTCATTGATCCTGAATTAACAGCCGTAAACTCGTGACCGTAATACGCCAACCCATATCCATTTTTGTCAGCTTTCAGAAAAAACCTGTTTCTAACGTTTTTATTGGTACCAGTTTCTTCAAATGACAACCCTATCAAGTCACTGTAGGTAGTAAATATAAGGTCGTAGAAAGTAATTAAGTGATTGAGATTTTTGCCACCAGGTAGCTTCCTCGCAGTCTCTTTGTCCACTTTCGGTATAAGGAGACCAAAGTAATCTGATTCTACGTAAGCAAATTCTGCATCTTGGGTATCCCAGAGTTTGAAGAAATCCTCTAAATTGTTTCCAAAACGAAAGATGGGAAGAATTTTTGAATTCGATGGATAGCTTATATTGATATCGCGACTATAATCTGGAGGATTTTTAAGGTACTCACAATCTATGAATGGAACACTTACAGAGTCAACGCTGACAGTTGATGCTCGACCTGGTTGGGAATTTCTAACGGCAAAATTGCCTTCTGTTTTACGGTCATCGTTGAGTAGACGTACTCGCACTTGGTCAAGAAACTGACTCATGAAAACACATTCCATTTTACTGTCGGCAGCTAATATGATTCCAACTGCTGTTCGGTGATGACGGAGGCCTTTAGTCATAGGAAAATTGTACCAGACAGGCTTCGGCAGCCATGGGGCCTGAATTTTCTTTCTGGAAGTCATTTTATTTTACCTGCAATGATTACGTTGATATAAATACATTTTTTAAACACCTTTTCATTAATAATAAGAACTTTTTTCCAGAACTGTTTTTCTCTTTGAACTTAGCAATTACACAGGGGAACAATTTTTTTTTCATTTTCTGTTGGATAAGACTTTCTAACACATCTTATATTTTCATTTCACTGATTTTAAATTTGCAATCAGTTTGTCGCCCCAAGTTACTGTTTTTTAAATAACATTTTTTGACGAAATAAAGTTTAAAAATGATCTAAAAAATGGTGCAACAAACTTCTAGAGGAGTTAGATCACATCTACAAGATTTAAATAGCATAGGAACCCGGTAATATCATTATTCGCTTGGAGCCAGATCCTATTTTGAATCGTTTTGTGGTATTCTTTTGAACTGGTCATAATGGGGAAATGATCTCTAAGCCACCAACACTTAATTAACAAATTTTGAAAAAAGTGACATTTAACTGTGACTTAAAAGTGGCATTAAAAAGTGACTGTAGTCGGTTTCTTCCTCCAAGTTGCAGTTTTGGTTTAAAAAAAACTTTTTAATTCCATTTTTCGTGAAATTTAAAAACGTTATATCTGGCTCAAATGTTGCCGCAAACTAAGATAGTTAGATTACGTCATCAGTATAAAAACTGCTTAAAAATTCATGCCTGGAAATGTCCTTATAAGCCACTAGGGATGCTTTGTGATCAAAATCGTTTCTTTCTGTGCTTCTGAATATGTCCTAATAGGAAGCAACGCTAGACGACTTTTCCGGGTATGGGTTTCTGTCAGGGCTCGAAAAACCACTCGTCCGCCCGTCCTCGGCGGTCAAAAATTCCCCGCGGAGAACGAATTTTTCGAATCCGACGTCCGCGCGGACGGCAATTTTCGCGTTAAAGTTGGTGATACATTTTAAATTTTTGTTATCTTACAAGAGTTTAGCGCCTCACTTCTAAAATGACCCTCTAATCTAGAAATACAGCAACATACTGCGCATGGTGGAATTGATGTTTTCTCTGTCTCCCGTACTGCAGCNCTTGACTTTGCATTTTATACATGCTTTAGGTTTGTTTACAACCTTTGGATTTTAATACATTTGGTATTTTACATTGCGATTGTATTTTATACATGGTTTTTAGATTGTTATACACCCCTTTTAACTCTTACCTTTTAGTATCTATTGGTATTTTGTCCTCTGTTTTTTTGTACTTTAATTGAATTTACTCTGCTTTACTTGTTGTTCTTCATTTTAACTACCTGTTACTACTTCACCCTCACTATTTTGGTTCCACCAGCAGGATTCAAGCTGGCTTGATTGGCTGGATCCTTTCAATGCCCTATTGGCAAGTGTATACATCTGTGATTTTGTCTTAGTTTTAACTTTTCAATTTTAGCACTATATTCATTTATGTCATTTTATCCTTTCACCTTTTGGCGGTTTTATGAGCTGTATTTACGGCGGTTTTTGGTGAATTGTTAGATTTTTTGTCTTGTATTAAGGGTTCCACCAGCTCTGGCTCACAGCTCACTCAGTTTTTACTGGTTGTCTCAGGGTTCACAATTTTTGTATTATATATATATATAATTTTTGTATTCTATTTATATGAGGGTTAATAAGTTTTGTATTGTATATATACATATAATTTTTGTATTTTATTTATATAAGGGTCTGTTGACCTTTTAAATGATTCATTGTATTTGGCGTATGGGCCTATTGGCCTAGGCCGCTGTATATATATTAAATAATCTTAGAATAAAAATCTATCTGAAATGGTTTCAGAAACAGGAAACTGAAAAATATATTTAAAAAAAAGTCTCAGTTTGGATAATTGCTTACAGGGTGTTTCTTAAAGACCACCCTCAAAATGTATTTTTCGAATCAGTCACAAATATGAAGAAGAAAAAAATGCATATATATTAGAGTCATAGTTTAATATTTATTACATGGAAAAACACTTTCGTAAGCTAAAAAAGGTCATTGAGAGAAGGTGTATGCAATAAACAACAACAAGTTTAATTTCAGGAGAAAACAGAGATTAGTTTGATTCGAAGAATCTACTGAATTGATTGAACTAATTGGAATAGAATTATTATTCTTATTATAATTATAATTGCGAGTCTATAGATAATTGGCTTAAAAGCTTCCCTACATTTCTATTATCATGGAAGTACTTTGCTTACATTTTATGTAAACAAAGTATATCGATACTATATGGATATAATGTAAGATAATTTGCGCTTGCAGAAATAAATATTCGTTAAAATTTTGGGTTAGACTACAAATAAACAATTATTAAAAACTGTTTTCCAGTTGAAACAATTTGATTACTGGAAATAAGTTCTGAACAATAAATAACATAATTTCTATTTATAATCATATAAGAGTAAAATAACAGTCCTAAGAATTAAATAATGATTCCAAGAGTTAAATAATATTCCTATGAGTTAAGAGTACTTAATCGCCTCTTGCAAGTTTTTATATTTAACTTTCAGTTGACAGCAAGCAAGTATGCGGAATGCTTTCCCATTAGTATTAAAACACAATTCCTCTACGACTAATCTGCATAGACAATAAGAGGCAGCATTTATTTATGAAAATTTCATTTCTCTGACAAAAGAAACCTGTTTTTATTATAATTTCTATTTATAATCATATAAGTTCCATTTCACCTTCTTAAAATCATACGTGAATTTGTTTAAAAATAAAATATAAATCGAATTTATTCTAAAAAGCTGAAAATGTAATCTGTGAAAAAGATAAACGAACTAGAAAAACTTACTCAGAAGGATCCACAAGCTCTTAAATCGAAGCCACAAGTAAAAAGTAGGAGATAATTTGTTTTTATTCAGAAAACTGCTTAAATATATGCCTACTCTTACATCATTTTTATTAAAAGATAAACATAATTGAAAATATTAGCAAACAATATGATACAATTAATTCAAAAACAAGTTCTGATAACAATATCAGATTTTGTGCATCGCACATTTACATTTGCGTACATAATTACATATATTCTATTTCTATCTTTTAATCTACGTTTTAACAAATAAATTTAAAAAACACGAAAATTTATTATTGTGTTTTCCAACAAAATAAAATTCTTACCTTCGATTTTTTAATTGAGATGCTGTAAAACATGTATCACTTGTTATCGGTAACACACTATGTATGTTTTTCTGTTTATTTTGAACACATTGTGGAAAAGATAATGTTGCGATCAAGGTGATTCGGTATTCTGTCACCATTTTTTCTTTCTAAAAAAAAACTATTTAGAGCTAGAATTTTATAATTTTTTTCGCTAATTAAATGCGTTTTTTATCAACAATATAAGTTACATCATGTCATAGAATGAAATACATTTACTACCATATTATAAATAGCAGCAATGCTTCGGTGGTTAAAGCACTGAACTGTCATTGCAGAGAACTGGGGTTCGATCCCCCATGGCGGTTTGTAGCTCACTAAGCTTCAGATCTATGGGTACCAGCTTGTCTGAGAAAGTTATTGTGAATCGAAATTTAGACAAGATTCCAACTGACTAGCTAAAGCTCTAAGGTGCGAGCAAGCTTTATCACTGATTAAAATATTCAGTCGAAAGTATACTTAACAGAGACAAAGCAAAAATAAACTGATAATAAAAATTTCAAAAACTACGAGTTTTACTATTTGACTAAAGAGGAATTGTTTTTTCTTTTTGTCGGACCTATAACAAATGATTTTATTCTCAAACATTTCTATTATTACTTAAATCTCTCTCCAAGTCTTTCAAAAATACTACACTTAACGTTTTTCGGGTTTCCATTGACTATAATATGTAGAGCAAATAAATGTCTGAAGAAAAACATTGAGGTTCTTCTCTAGAGTGAAAACACTAAGTGAATAGCTCAATTAATTATATAATTTATGAGACTCATTAAAAAGAAAAAATTAAAAAAGTTTTTAAAATTTTGTCACCTGTTGCGACAACATTGATAGACGGGCTTAGAGTTGGATATGAGACATTCAATCTACATAAAATTTAGGAGTCAATTTAACAATATACAATTAATTTATAATAATTTACATGATTTACATAACTTAGCAGTCAAATGTATACTGCATGATTTACAAACTTATAATACATTTTCTTTGAATTAAGTATCACTTAACCTTAATTTTTTCAATGTGAGTTTCCTCCAATTTTCTTTCGCATTGAAAGTCTTCTTATTCAGATGTGTAAACCTGGCAACGAAAATTTTGATATAAGCCTCCAAATGTTATACAGATCAAGGAAATCGTTAGCTCACCAAATATTGGCTGATCTGACGAAAAAAGTTATGTTCAAAGCAAATTGTAGCTTACTTTTATACCAGAAATTGGAAGTTTGAATTTAATTTCGCCTTCAAATATTAAGCCATTGAAAGATCTCGTTATCCCTTAAAAAGTACTGCTTTCATTAGCCAGCTAAAAAAAGTAAGAAAATTAGAACTTTTACTTTACTTTTGATAAAATCTAGGTTATTTCTGAAGAAAAAAAAAGAAAACGGATTTTGGCTTATAATGCTATAGTTAATTAAAAGAAATCAACTTTTTCTTATCTTACCAGCTAAAAATATTTTGTCAAAAATTTAAACTTAATATAGATTGATCGGGGAATTTGATAGCATGGTTAAAATAGAGAATGCAATATCAGACCTGTATTAGTATGTAGTTTTCACCATGTAAACTGATTACCCATTTCATAATTTTGAAATAGTTGCCCAAATAGCATACATAAATTTAAAAAAAAAATAGCGTATATTCAATCAAAAAAAAAACTTTTTTAAAGATGTTCAGTGGGTGAGTTTTAGCATGCAAACCGTCCGACTACTGAAGAATCATCTTAAGATAGTTGCCCAAATTATATACATAAAATAACGTAAGTTTAATTGCGTTTTCTAAAGATTTAAGGGTGTTCGACTGATGGTTTCCCCCCCCCCATGAACTGTCTGGCTAAATGGAAAACGTGCTCAAATGGT